CCTAATTTCTCTGTTTATACCAGAGTAACCAGCCTGAGTAAGTTCTTTGTTGAAGTCAAAAATGCAATGAAAAAATATGTATTTCCCTTTACTTGAGTGAGTTATTCTAAAGCACAAAACTCTAAGAGTTCCAAAATAGTGCTTCTGCTGGCCTTTATAGTGTGGGTCCCAGAAACTCTGAGATTGGAGTGAAAATTAGGTTAAGTTTCTCCTACGGGTTTAAATGTATCAGGTCTTCGGTCTCTCTGCCAGGTGTGAAGTCAGAGAGGATACCGCAATGTTCTCCTGATTGAAAACTGACCCTGATTAGCCTTATCAGTCATAGTCCCCACTGTATCTTGCAGAGACGATGAAGTTATTTGAAGACTGCAGGCCATGATCCTTCCTAGGCATTTTCCCCCACTATTCAGCATCACATGTCCCCTAGATCGTCTTTAATTATAGCTCTTCTTCCTTTACTAGACTAAGGCTTAACAGATCAGTTCCAGAGTCAGTTTGATTCACAGCATTCTAATATTTTTCTTATAAATCAATTCCTTCCATTGACCAGAAACCTTATCTTGTCTTTAATCAGTTAACCAAATCGCATGATTTCTCAAAATGAAAAAGGATCTGTAAACCTTGCAATAAAAGATCTTTTTAATAGTGGTATGCTGTAGACTTCCACTTACCTAAATCCAACATGAAATGATAGCATGTGAATCATAAAAATGTGGACTATCCGTATTTTACTAACAGTCTAAGATAGTTATGTAGGTGAGGATAAAAAATAGTCTTTAAGAAACAAATTGGGAATTTGCAAATTAGAAGTCCAGATCATAGATATTTATATAATATCTAAGGAAAGGTGCTAGAAATATAACGGTATCTATATCAGTAATTCAAAATAAGCATGCCTATGACGAGCTAAGCAATTTTAGGTACTAGATATGCAGCCTTGATGGAGACTGTGTATACCTCCTTTAGAATGTAAGCTCTTTAAAGAAACAAATGGAGTCTTTTTCCTCAGAGAACATAATATTTAAGAGGAAGACTTTATTTGAAGGAGGAATTTAGTATACATATGTTCTAAGGATTTTCATGTTATGAAAATTTATTGAGCATCTCATATTGGCAAGATAATCTTTGAGCTATAGTGGATAAAACCTCAGAATAAGACTGAGGCAGCGCTCCAAGGGGCAGTCGTCAGGCCAGGCCCACACCTGGGTCGGTCTCAGGAACAAAAGACTTTTAGGAATGGTCTATGCTTCCCAGCAGGATACAGTCAGAAAGGTTAACAACTCTTAGGGACAGAAAGAGTTAAGCAGAACATATATAGGAAAAGGTGTTTCAACAGGAAGAGATTTTTATCAGGGCTTGGAAGAATATTTAATGCCTAAAAAAAGGAACAATGGGAGGAGAGCATTTTAGACATATGAGACTTAAATTCAGTTTTTAAAACAAACTAAATGGTGGCATAATAAACTGAGGCCAAAATCAGCTGATATTGTGTATTCCTCCCATGCCATTGTTCAAAGGGCTGATTACCTCATCATTATAACACCAAGGAATGACAGAAGAGAGATTTAGTAATTTTTAAAAGTGTGCCAGAGTAATTTTTAAAAGTGTGCATTTCCCATTTATTTTATAAGACTTAATCTAGATCGTCTGTTAAACTATAGTTTATTCTCTTTGCCTTCACATAGTATTTGGATCAAAAAGAGTGAAAAATATAATTTAATCTTCTAGGCTAAGCTACTCTGTAGCCTTCCATATGGTTGTCAAATAAAGTGTTCAAATATTTATTCGGATTCTCGGTATGTCCAAAAAAATCTAAACTTTCAGTCTCTATGTGATAAAGATATGGAGAAAGATTAGGATGAGAGAGTTTGACAATTACCTACCACAGTACTGCTTCTATATTAATAGCAATAAAACTTTACATGATATCCACGTAGTTAGAAATAGCTTATTTACATTTATCATTCACTTAAACTGACTTCCCAGTCTATCCAATAGATTTTATGCAAATTGGTCATATTTTATATGTAAATAAGGAAACATTTTTCTACCTGAAAAGAAGTATAAAATATGAAGATGATTATTTCTAGTAGGGTGACTTTGATGGTTAATTGTGTATTATTTTTAGTTATTAACTCTACTAAAGTTATATGCCAGTTATCAATAATTATCATAGGGCAGTTCAAATTTAGTGACACAAATACATAAATATAATTACAAAACTAAAAAGAGTACAAAGAAAACATGTTCTCTTCTAGTGTTTTTTGTATAAAAAATTATGAGATTTCAAATTACACAACTGTCAAAGGTTGCAAATCTCCACTTTTCTCCTTCACTTCAATTTCCCCCAAATATCCAAAGCATTTTAAATTCTCCTATTAAATTCCATTTCCCAGTAACTTTTCAAAATGTCCATGGTTCATTTATTTATAAAAGTATATTTATGTGGGTGATAATCATTTTTAAATAACACTTTTTAAAATTATAAAGACGTGGGGTACAATTCAGGGTTAGGTATACAAATGTTGATTATGCAGGTACACTTGTTTAAAATAATACTTTCCATCTTCATTTTGAAACCCATGATCCTATGAGATGTTTTTCACTACTCGTAAACTTAGAGGCAAAAGTGGTATGCGTTTAAGTGTTGATTTCTTCTGGAGTGGTTTGAAGGGGTGCTACAAAGCATACTACATCTTGCTCCTAGGGGAGACTTCAAGCTTTTTGTGACCATGTCCCTTAAAAACAGCAGCTGAAGCAGCACACTCAAGTCACAATTCATCTCCAACATATTTTGTGCCTGGGAGCTGCTTTAAATATATGGAAAACGAATAGGCACTGTATAAACTTTAGTGGATATCCTAGGATCGATCTTCTCCTGTACCACTTTTTCCAGTACTATTTCAGGAAGGGCGTTGCCCCGTTTTCAGATAAGCCATCATGGAACTCCACTGTTGGCCCATTCCTTAGATACCTTTAAAATTCTGAAGTGCAATTTTGCATTCCACAAGCCCAGCTTTGGGTTCCTTTGGTTTCTCAATCTGGACACTGAGTTGTAGAGTGTTTGCCAAGGCAGAAAACAGAATCAGCATGTTCTAGTAAGAACGTATGCACAATTTTAAAATAATATGTATAGAATAAGAGATAAATGCAAAAAAAGGTCTATGGGCCTCCCCATCTAGAAGAACTGAAATTCAAAAATATGAGGGAGGAAGGAAAATACCCAGACCTAATATCAGCAGACTAAGGAAAGATGGTGAAAAATGGAACTCAAAACCGTCCCTGGCTTAGATTATGCTCCTGAGCATACTTGCAAAAGAGGGGTCTTTAAATGGAAATTGCAAGACCTGACCAGGTCATCACTTGAGTGTACTGTAAGAAACATGCAGAATGTGCATGGCCTTTTCAAGTCCTCTGAACTTTACCATAAAGGACAGAGCTTCAGAGGATGTTCCTTCTGTAGCAGCTGTCATTTGAAACCCCAAACCAGTCCCATCTAAAAAGTGGCATTGGTACCAAAACTTGCTGACTAGAAACTTGCAAAGACTATAATTCATCAAGAAGAAGGGTCCAGTCCAACATCTTACAAAAAATGCCATGCTCCCCTGCCACTGAACGAATAGGAAGCTTCTTAAAGGAAGACGTTCCAAGAGAACTTCTTGGGGATCAAGACCATAAAAGTCGTGACAGGCTTCCATCTCATTATGGCTGTACACTCCCAGGTTCTGGTCACCTAAAAATAGCCCTCAGGATACAGATCTGTCTTTCCCTTTGCCCTAAGAAAGCTAAAGAACTCTCCAGGGGGAGTGGCAGTTTCTCTCTGACACCTGATGCTAGTTGTGAGGTCACAGCTTGTCCAGAAATAAAAGGAAGATTCAGCAAGGGAGGACCCCACTCAGGGACGGGAGCAGCCCTCAACTTACTCTTCTACTTTCCCGTTGTGTTGCCGCCCAGCCGCTCCATCATGGTGGGTCCTACAAGAAAACTATTTGTCATTTCTAGGAAGATATAGATAGTGGATATAATCTTACTGAGAAGAAAGGCAGACAAGGAATGAAACGGAGGAGAGAACATATTCAATATGAGTCTTTAGAATCTACTTTTGGTCTTTGTTGAGGTGCACTGAGGATAGAAAAGAGGAATCAGAGCTGTTATACCAACCGAAAAAAAAATACATCTTAATCCCCAAACCTGTAATTTATGCTTCACCGTTTCTTGCTATATCACATAAGGTTTATTATATCTAAATTTAGAAAAAAAAAAACCCTGCAGCTACAGCAAAATATTATACCTTGAAATACAATCTGTGATGCTGACAGCTAAAATTAAGTAAACTGCTTTTGATGCATTGGGTTTTATATACTAATATAAAAATATACTGGTTAAACAGCAGAAGGACTTAAAGTAGTCTTTTTAATGCAGTGTGTCTATACTTTTTTAATAGAGCATATCTTATTAGGTATATCTTAAATACACCATAGAGTATTATATTGTTTGAGGAAGTGTTTAATTTAGCAGTTGTTAAATTATTGATTAAGAGCTAGAGAGATGTTCCCTAATTATATTTTGCAATAGATTGTTATGTTCCTAGATTCAAAAGTACCCTAAGGCAACCTTCTTATGCCAAGACATCTACATGGCTTCCTACAAATCTCAGAGTAGACAGCACTCATTCTTCTGTCAATGCATTTGAAAGAGTACTCGTTATTTCTTTCTTTCTCTCTCCTTCACCACCGCAGTCCTTCAGTGCTGACCAGATTGCTGGTAAGTGGATTGAACTTCTCTGCAGCAGGCATAGTACTGCCTAGTTTCTGAAATATCACTTACCTTCAAGGCATGTTACTTTGTGGCTCAATCTGTTCGTGTCCAAGCTATGCCTGAAATCTGAAAAGTAGGCTAACTTTTAGAGCTTACTTTGAAGATTTTTCAGGGAATGAGCTGAGCATCAGAACACTTTTGTTTGGTTAAAACATTCTTTGTGGTTAATTTCTTTCTAACAGATCGAGTTCTCTAAGGAACAGCAGGATGGTAAGTTTAAAAACTGTAGTTGTTAAACGTGCACACTCATAAAGATGGCATGTGAGAAAACCAACTCCCTTGGGATGAGATTAGCTCTTCCTAATTATCTCCACTGGTGTTGACACTCTAAATATAAATTGCTCTTGATCACTCTAAATATAAATTAGCTCAACCTGAAACTCTTGCTCATAAACAGTAATCAAAGGTTTAACAGACAAATGATAAGCACCACAAAATCGATTTTTCTATTTATTGATATCTAAATAAAACTAGTTTGATACAATAGGTAATACTTTATCTATGTTCCTAAGTACATATATAATACCCAAAAAGGATGTAGATTTTTTAATTAATATTTTATTTTAAAATTGTGGGGTACATGTGAGGATTTACTACATAAGTAAATTACATGCAGGTGAGGTTTGGGCTTCTAGCAGGACGGAGATTTTAGATGGCAAATTTGCTAATCTGATTCCTAAAAAGATCTGACATGTCTGAATTGTTCAATTTGAAAAATTATAAAACCGTCCAATTATCAAATCTATATAATTTTGATAGGTGTCAAAGTGAGTTGCAGAATAATTTCAGAGACAGAAATGAAGGAGTGATTTATCATAGAACTGTGGAAGGAACAGTAGCTATCTCCTGGTCCAATTCCTCTTTAGAGATGCAGGACAGACTTCCAGAGAGGTGACAGTACTTGCTCAAAGACTCAAAGAATTAGCCACAGAATCAAAATCTGGTATTAGTTTCAATTGATTAAAAGTGTATTTCATAAAAACAATTACTAGCTAGGAGACTCCAAACTCTTAAGGTTCAAGAGAATTTGAATAATACTTCAGTTCTTTTCCCTTTGGGTCTTTGGAGTCAACTGATCCCGTATCCCACGGTAGCTTGATGTTTTCATTTGGAATTGTAGGAATAAATGTTTAGGGTTTTTTATTTTGTTTTGTTTTGTTTTGTCCTTTACTAACCACTATATGATCATGGCAGGGAGGAATGTGTTGTGGAGTAAAAATGTCACATATCTAAATAAACTGAGACATAAATACATCTACAGAAGGAAGGAGGAGAAGAAATTCAGTTACACGATATTGTATAAGTTAAAACATTGGTCACAATAAGTATGCAAATATTATATATATTACTATATAAGATATAAATAATTATAATTATGAGTGATTAATAAGGACCTATTCAAATATGCAATAGTTTGCCTAAAGGATCTCATATTATTCAATCTGCCTATGTACCTGGAATAGTTGATATTTGAACATTGATCGAGGAAACAAGAATATTTGCCATAGTACAGACTCACATGTATCCACACCATGGTTAATGGCCTCATGAAGACAGACTAGATTATTTGGTGACTCATAATTCAAGGTCATTTGAAATTTACTCATATACTCTGAAGGATTTTTTAATTGAAAACAGTTGATGATTCTATGATAATTTGTTTGATTGTTAATGCATACTGACTGTGATGCTGCTACATTATCAGCTACTACATTCCAGTCCTCTCAAATATCTAATCTACGGTGTCATTGCAGTTGCCAAACCACTGTAAGACCCAGCACCAGAAGTCTTAATTCATTTGCCGAGACAAAAGGAATTACTGTTGATCATTAAACCTATGACTCCACATGTGAAATAGGTTTTAGACACAAAAGTTCAGTACATATGGGTGTAAGGGACAGGTTTTCTCTGGGTCTGGAAAACAAATGTAAGCATTTACAATTAAATGAAAATTCTATGTTTTCAGAAATGAAATATTTCTTTCTTTTGTGTTCTAGCTTAATGATTAAAGAATTTTGCTCATGGCTACTCTATTTGAATGTATCATAGGAGTGAAGGAAAGGGAAAAGGAAAAATAACTAGAAAAGTATAGCATTCTAAAGATCTAAGTCCTATGCTGTCTCAGGAGAACATTGAACACATGTGGCTACTTAGACTTTGATTACTTAAAGATAAATATGTCTAAAAATCAATTTCCTCAGTTGCACTAGTTACCTTTTGATGTTCAAGAGTAACAGATAGTAGCTTTTTGGGGCAGCCCAGAGAACATTTCCATCATTACCAAACATTTCTAGAACTGTTAGAGTCCGGAGGTCCACACACTTTTTCTTGAAGGGCCTAGGAAGTACGATAGGCTTTGGGGTAGTAAAGTAAATCTTTGGAGTTGTAGTCTCTGTGAAAACAACTCCACTCTGTCACTATGGTGTGAAAACAGTCACAGACAATATATAAATGAATGGGCATGGCTGTATCCCAATCAAATTTTATTTACAGAAACAGGCAGCCAGTCCTTGGGAAGTAGTTTTCCAGACTTGGTCTAAATTCTTCAGGAAAATAACTAAGCCTTGGGTTAAAAATCTACAGTAAGAAAAACAGTCTCTTTCTGGCCTCTGCCTTTAAATAACCAAAAACGTTAATGTCAGAGCGATTCTATTACAGCCATAAAATCCTATTTCTACATAGTCATCTGACCAGGGTAATAGTGAGCCCGCTGTGCAGTCTGCATGAAAGCCTGGAGCCAGTAACAAGAATAGTTCAGTTTCCCATGCCCCTTAGAAAGATGGAAAATAATATTTGACTAATGTCTCAACATGCCTACAGCATGCCTGCAGCATGTTTATTATCTTAGGCAATTGACTTGTTATAGTCAAATTGCATAGAATACAAGGGAAAATTTTAGCAAACAATGGCATCATGATCTATAGCTAACTGTGAATATACTGTCTGGTGCAATCTTAGATTAGGAGGTGGAGGGAGAGTAAAATAGAGTATTTTACTGAGTGGTCTATCTAGATAGCTTCTTTTGATCTGAGACCACTGATAGCCTAAAAAGAATGTTTTTGCCTCTTCCAGTTCATTCATAAATGGTTTTCTGAGTATTGTTGATATTAACTCCAGCAAGTCGTCATCTGCACTTTTGAGTTTACCCAAATTTTTATCTAGTTGAGTTTAGAATTTTCAATTAAAATGGTCTAGTAAGCTGGGCTCAGTGGCTCAGCCTGTAATCCCCCGCCTTTGGGAGGCTGAGGTGAGTGAATTGCCTGAGCCCGCGGGTTCGAGACCCGCCTGGGCAGTAAGACCTCATCTCTACAATAAATCAAAAAATCAGCCGGGTGTGGTAGCGCATGCCTGTAATTCCGGCTACTTGGAAGGCTGAGGAGGAAGGATCGCCGGAGTCCAGCAGGTGGAGGCTGCGGTGGCCGGGAGCGGCCACTGCACTCCAGTCTGGGTGACAGAGTGAGACTCCAACTCAAAAAAAAAAAAAAAGGTCTAGTAGCACCCCTTCCTGCCTTTTTGGTATGCACTTTTAAATTCTTTGTCATTGTAATTTTGAAAGTCAAAATCAGTTCTATCAAAACAGAATCACAAAATTAAGGGAAAGTTTTCAATAGAGTGACTATAATAAGTACACTTATTATATGCTTTAAACACTTTAAAATATGCACTTAATACACACATACACTCACATGTAAGTACAAGTAAATGAAAAATACAAATGAAATCTTTGGAGTCTATAAAGATGAATATCCTGGTTGAGATAATATACTATAATTTTGCAAAACGTTACCATTAGGAGGAACTAAGCAAAGTATACAAGAGATTTTTCTGTATCATTTCTTACAACTGTATGTGAATCGACAATTATTTTCACAGAATTTGAATTTAAAATGCTTAAATTCCAAAGCTGATAGGATAACATGATGTCATATGTATATCTGAAAAAAGAGTAAGATGTAAAGAGATTATCATAGCAACAGAACCAAGCAAATGTTTTGCCTTCTGAACTGATTATACTAGGAGCCTGTAAGTCACATATTAAGGTGGTGACTATACTATAGAACTTATAGATTTGTCTTACCTTCCTCAATTTTTCCTGGAAAGTGAAGTTATTCCTGAAGAAAACTAGTTAAGGGGACATCCTAGAAAATTTGTACATCAAGAAAAGATTTTTCCATATAATTTGAGAAGTTGAGTTAAACCTCACATACCACAACTCTAATCGAAAATTTGTTTTCTTGATATTTTAATTCATCTTGTTAATTATATAAGGAATTGTTAAGATTTCTCAAGGCCTCAGAATGTCTTAACCCAGTCCAGCTTCCCAGGCAGGCAAAGGAAATATGAACAAATATAACTAGGAGCTCCAATTTACGTATCTGATGAACAATAACATATGATTTAAAGTTGGAATTGTTGCTTTAAAATAATCCAAGAGTGAAATGCCAAAATATTGGCCAATGATTGAGATTAAAAAAGAAAGCGTCCACAGATAACAATTTGAGTGACTGGCAAAAGTTGTAAAACAGTGAAGAGTTTTAACTGAATGCTTGACACAGTTAGGGTTCATTAATAAATCAGAAGACGAAAAGAAAACACTCTAATGCTTCTTGCTTTTTGCAGACTTCAAGGAGGCATTTCTCCTGTTTGACAGAACAGGTGAAAGCAAGATCACCTTGAGCCAGGTCGGTGATGTCCTTCGGGCTCTGGGTACGAATCCCACCAATGCGGAGGTCAGGAAAGTTCTGGGAAACCCCAGCAATGAAGGTAACCACATCAGTTTTTCCAAGAAGAGAAGTGTGTGGATATTTGTGTGTGTGTGTGTGTGTGTGTGTGTGTGTGTGTGTGTGTGTGTGTGTAAAGAGGGAGAGAGAGAGGAGAGAGAAAGAGAACAAGAGAGAAGAGAGAGAAGTGAAGGACAGAAAGAGGGGGAGAAGAGAGAGAAAGAGAGGAGAGAGACAGAGAGAGAAGAGAGAAAGGAAAGAAAGAAAGAGAGAGAGAGAGAGACAGAAGCGGGGGAGGAGATTTATTGAGAAATGTTTCCCATGGCAGAGTTGAGTTTACTTCTGGTTGGGATACGTGTGCCTCTTTGCCATCTAGATCCTGAGTCTTTACCTCATAAAATAAGTTGACCTTCCTTTGAGAATTTGCAAGCATGATAAAATGCCATGCTAAGTAAAAGAAATAATATTTGATGCTAACGCCATTATTGTCATCATATCTAATATTCATAATTTAAAGGTTACTAAAACAAAACAATTTCCAAATCTGTACACCTTTCAGATTTCAAACCTTTGAAGGTAAAAAATACATATTGACAAAAATTGTGAAACATGAGTAAGACATCATGTACTTTATCGACAATTCTTCATAAATGACAGTGGCACACTTCTAGAAATCTACTCCAATAAAATCTGTGAAAATGAAACTGCAATGTTTCAAAGCAACTGAAAAATGCAAGTTAACTGCTCTGTGCTCCTCCCTTTGACATCCTGCTTCTATGGTCATCTTTTTTTTTTTTTTCTTTTGAGTTGTAGTCTCACTCCGTCACGCAGGCTGGAGTGCAGTGCATGCTCACAGCCACCCCAGGGTCGACCCGCTGGGCTCAGGCAATCCTTCCGGCATGGCCATCTTTAAAAAAAAAAAAAGTCAGCTATTTTAACTAGGAATAGACAGAATGACTTTTAATAAGAGTATTTTCTACTTTCAAAGAATTTTTAAAACCTTTAAAATTCTAAGCCAAACTTGTGTTCAGTTTCCCAGGATACATCCTGGGACAAAAATCAGTGAAATATGTAAGTGGCAAAATTGCAGAAGCCCTTTACTCAATACAGAAATCCAGTAATGAATCTAGAACAAGAAAACTATTTTTAATCCCAATGGTGTATGGAAAAGTATAATAGCCTATTGGAAAATGCCGCTCTAAAAAGAAAGTCAAGACACATTTAAAACCTATTCATCTGACAAGGGATTAATAACTAGAATGTATAAGGAGCTCAAACAACTCAACAGCAAAAAAAGAAAAGAAAAGAAAAGAATTATCGGATTAAAAAATGAGCTGATGAACTGAATAGACTGCTCTCAAAAGAAAACATACAAATGACCAACAGGTATATGAAAAATTCCTCCCCATCACTAAGTATCAGGGAGATGCAAAGAAAAACCACAATGAGATGTCATCTTATTCCAGTAAGAACGGCTACAATCAAAAAGACAAAGAAATAACAAATTCTGGGGAGAATGCAAAGAAAAGGGAATTCATATCCACTGTTGGTAGGAATGTAGGGGAGTGCAGTTATTATGGAACACAGCATGGGAGTTCTTTAAAAACCGAAAAATGGAACTGCCATATGATTCAGCAATTCCACTACTGGGTATTTATCCAAAGGAAAGTAAATCAATATGTCTAAGAAATGTATGCATCCCTATGTTTATCGCAGCACTATTAACAATGGCCTTGACATAGAATCAACCTAAGTGTTCATAAACAGGTGAATTAATAAAGAAAATGGAGCATATATACACAATGGAATACTATTTATTTGTACATATGAATGAAATTCTGTCATTCACTGCAACATGGATGAGCTGGAGAACATCATGTTTAGTAAAATAAGCCAGACACAGAAAGATATATATCACATGTTCTCACTCATGCAGAAGCTAAAAAAAATTGAACTCAGAGAAGTAGAGAGTAAAATGATGGTTACTAGAGACAGGGAAGGGTGGAGAGAGGAGGAGTAGTCATAGGTTGGTTAATGGATACAAAAGTACAGCTAGATAGGAGAAATTAATTCTAGTTTCTGTAGCACTGTAGGAAGATGATAATTAACAACAATTTATTGCATAATTTAAAATAAAGTGAGGCCCCTACATATGAACTTTCAAGTTACAAACTCTCAAAGATGCAAACATGAGTTGCCATGTCCAATCACATAAGTTAGTTCATGTGTCTGGCATACATTGCCACATGCATACATCCTTTACAAGTGGTTGTGATTTTTTTGTACTTTACAGTACTGTATAGCAATGGTCCCCAACCTTTTTGGCATCGGGGACAAGTTTCATGGAAGACAATTTTTCCATGGAGGAGGTAGGGTATCACCAGGCATTAGATTCTCATAAGGAGCATGAAACCTAGATCCCTCACATGCGCAGTTCACAATAGGGCTCTCACTCTATGAGAATCTAATGCCGTGGATGCTCTGACAGCAAGCAAAGCTCCCCTAGCCAGCCACTCATCTCCTTCTGTGCAGCCTGGTTCAGCACTGGTCTACAGCCCAAGGTTGAGGGCCGCTGCTATATAGAGCACAGTAGTATAGTCTCTTTAATTCAAGCCCAGGATGCCTGGAACCAAGCGTAAAAGCAACGACGATGCCCCTGGTACTGGATAGATGACTTTGTTAGTCGGGTATCTAGGCTGACTTCCATGAGCTAGTGAACAAATTAGACTGACCCAGTGCTCTCAGAATGGAATTCGTATGTAGGGGACTTACTGTCACTAAAAGAGCAGGTCTTGAATGTTCTCAACACAAAGAATTAATAAATGTTTGAGGTGACGACTAATCCTCTTGATTTAATCATTATACATTGTATACTTGTATCCAAGTGTCACACTATAACCCATAAATGTGTACAATTATCATGTATCGATTAAAAATAATTTTTTTAATTTTTCAAGTACATATATGGGCTCTTTATCTTTGTCACTAAGAAAAAGAAAGAGAGGAAGAACAAATAATCTTTTTTTACTTTGATAACTGAAAATGCTTTCGAGACTTTCCTTTGTTAAAAAAGGAGGGTTGCCTTACCTCAAAATCAGTCTCTTGAGATTTTCCTCAGACTTCCTTTTCTTTGGAAGAAAGTTTCCAGTTAAATCATGCAGAAAGTAGCTGAGAGCACGAGATAAAGTGAGCAAACAGCAGATCAAACCTTATTTTTAAATATCACTCCCTAACTTACCAAACATCTATCTTTAATGAAATTATTAGACAAATGTTCATTTATTCAGCACTCAAATTTAATCTCTTTTGTATTACTTGGTAGAATTTCAATAGAAATAGAAATGACACATTATAGAAATTTGATATAAATAGAAATGTAGATTTATATTCTGTGAGAGAAGGGAAAGAAATTTTGATTTTTGAGAGCACATAACTTTACCTATTTGCACACATCTGGATAGTCTATTTTGTACCTTTGTCATGAATAAGATTTACCCTGTCAGAAGATACTAAAGAAAGTCCTGTCATCTCCAGGTCTCTAAATTACAAAGAAGGCAGGAGATCACAGAATATTTCTCACACACACACACACACACACACACACACACACACACACACACACACTCCTTATAAGCTTCTTTTTAAATGTACTCAAATTTTAAAGGAATTGAAGGTTCTATAAAAGCTGGAAACAAAGGTGGATTATGCACAAAAGTTCAATTAAGTTTCGTTATATTTATATCTACTGGATTTGTTGTTTCTCAGTATATTTTTCTTTTGCTTCTGTAGTTTTTATGGGAAATATTAAATAAACACTACTAATAAAATAGTAGTTAACATTTATTAAGCATTCAGTTTGCCTTAGGCATTATAATAAACTTTGCTTGCATTAATTGACTCATTTAACTCTCACAATAACAATATATGATAACTCTGTTTTACAGAAAAAATTTGAGGCACAAAGAGGTTAATAAATTTGCCCACTGCCGCATATTTATAAATGGTAGATTGGGGATAAAAGCTCAGACACCGAAATACAGAGCTCATGGCTGTATTTTTGTTCTTCTTGCAGTTTACCAACTGAAATTTAAATTGTGTACAGATTTTTCAGATCCTCTAGAATAAGCTTTCAAGTTTAATTTGTAGCTTAGAGATTATTTTGTGGTAGCTAATAACTCTCAACATTGCAATTTCTTACAGAGATGAATGCCAAGAAAATTGAGTTTGAACAATTTCTGCCCATGATGCAAGCAATTTCCAACAACAAAGACCAGGGCACCTATGAAGACTTTGTTGAGGGTCTGCGTGTCTTTGACAAGGAAGGCAATGGCACAGTCATGGGTGCTGAACTCCGCCATGTTCTAGCAACCCTGGGTAAGGAGAATTTATTTCAGTGGACTTAACAGGACAGAATATATAGAAAAGAGCATGACAGGATAATCATCCTTTTTTAAAAATGGAAAAAATCGTCAGAAGTTAATGACCGTGTCAATTGGCCTCCGTGCCAGGGAGTTTATTTTAGGGAAATGGTAACTTGAAATACTGGTCATGCATAAATAAAGGGTTGTGTTCTTATAGGATGTAGTTTGCATGACCAGGGATCATGTATATTTAATTCATTCAAAAACAATTTGTTTAAAAAACACTAAGTGCCAGGAATAGGGCAGGCACAGTTCCTATGCTCCAAGAGTCTTCTCATAGTCTCTAGGAGTCCCTGACAGATCACCTACGGTGGAATGATGAAATTATCACGCGGCCTTCTTTCTGAAAGGAAAGTTTTGTTTCGTCAGGTGAAAAGATGAAAGAGGAAGAAGTTGAAGCGCTGATGAAAGGGCAGGAAGACTCCAATGGCTGCATCAACTATGAAGGTACAATCGATGTGCACTGGTGGTTACAGCAACTCTTAACTGATTGGGTTGATGATAGTCTCTTTTGTACTTAACTCCTTTTCCTCTTCTTGCCTGATTGACATACATGCATCAATCATTGCATAATAACTCTAACAAAAGATGCCCTGTGAAGATCTGAATACTTAAGATTTATTCCAGTGTGTTTTAGCAATACCATCCATTGATTTACAGCTTAAAATGTGTGTTCGCATGTATTTTCTGGTCAGATCTTTAGAACATCCCTTGTGAGATAGACAGGGCTTGTATCAATATCAAATTTAAGAGAATATTAAAGTTGAGAGATCTCAAAGTCATTGACTAGTAGCAAGTCATTAGAAAAATGAGGAAACTGAAGGCCAAAGAGATTTAGTTATTTCATGAAGGTCAAATCATAAATGACAGGCTGTTGCTAAAATTTAGTTCTTCTTGTCTCGTATTCTTGCTTAAATGAAATGTATCTTAGAGTAGCCAATCGTTTAATTACTACTACCAATTTACAGCTGACTTACTCAGAAAGTGTAAAAGCAATGCGCTACACAAAATAAAGATGGAAAATAAAGTTTCATAATATAGTTTGCAAGTTTAAAAATTTCCCCCAAAATGGAAAAATTTATCTATCCCCAAAGAGGACTAATCTAGTCGCATTTCAATAAAATTATGTTAACAGCTTTGGTATAAACATAGGCTTATAAAGACCCACAACTTAGGAAAAAGCAAAGAAACAAAAAGAAAAGGATAGAAAGGAAGGAAGAGGAGAGGAGAAAGCCAAGCATATCTTCAATGACAATCTTGGTTAAACTTCACTATTTTCCCATAAACAATAGCTCACATTTAGTTATTGCCATAAGTACATTACACAGATGAACAATTCACTAAATATTGTTTAAGTAAGTGGTCATCATTTTGAGAATAAAGTCAAATCAGAATCTTAAAACATGATAAATTTCAAATGGGTCAAAAATTTAAATGTAAAAGCTAAAAACATAAAAAGCATAAGAGAAATAATTTAAAACCCTGGAGTGGTAAGTTTTTTTCTAACAGTGACACAAAATACAGAAAGCATAGAAAATTTAGGTTAGTTCAACCATTTTTTATTTTCGTCAATTAATTAATTTTTTTAAAAAAAACAGGTCTCACTCTGTCACCCAGGCCGGTGTGCAGTGGTGTGATCATAATTCTCTGCAACCTCAAACTCCTTGGCTTAAGTCTCCTGAGTAGCTAACACTAGAGGTCAGCACCATCATGCCAACTATTTTTTTTATTTTTTTATTTTTTGTAGTGATGAGGTCTTGCTATGTTGCCCATGCTGGTCTCAAACTCCTGGCCTCAAGCGATCCTCCCTCCTCAGCCACCCAAAGTGCTGGGATCACAGCTACCGCGCCAGGCCCAAATAAATTTTTTTTTTTTAATCTATATGACAAAAGCCACCAGAAGCAAAATCAAAAGACAAATAACAAACCAGAAAAAATATATTTGCAATCAATATCTGAAAGAGTTAATTTGCTTAACAAAAAAAAGAACTCGTATAAATTAATTAAAGAACATATTCAACAGAAAAATTAGCAAGTACATGAACTGACAACTCATAGGGAAGAAAAAGGAAAAAAGAAAAATATATATGAATATGAAGGGGACCCAAAAAACCCTGGAATTATCTTTTGAAGGATGGGCCCCTGGTAATACAATCTTCCCCCACTAGTTAAAAGTGTGCTAGGAACCCATCGGCATCAAGGTACCAGCTAGTGTTCTTGTCAGAGGTTGAACTTGGCTTCAAAGCATCTTTTTGTGGCAAACAGGTGACCAAAACTGGCATGACCCCCCATGCTGGACCATCCCTATTCACCCAATCTCGCCCTGAGCGACTTGTGCTTGTTTCTGGATGAAAAAAGTCCTCAAAGGGAAATGATTTTTTTCTGACATGGAAGAAGTGAAGCAAAAACAGCAGAAACGCTGAAAGGCATCACAACTGACAAATTCCAAAACTGTTTTGAGCAGTAGAAAAAGCATCTCGATACATAGGTTGCATCAATGGGAGAGTACTTTGAAGGTGACTGAATTTAAACATGTAAGAATAAATACATAATTTTTTATAAATAAATTCCAGGTTTATTTTGGGGTGCCCCCTTGTATCGCACTAATAATAAAATAAATGCAAATTACATTGAGATATCATGTTTTAAGTATGTGATTGCCAAAGATTAAAAGTTTGGCCACACTTTTTGGGTTGGGAAAAGTATATGGAAACAGGCAATCTTGTATATTACGGGGGGGAACGTATATCATTAAAATGTCTAGGTGATGATATAATACTATTAATTCTAGAAAGTCTACTTAAAGAGATTTGGTTTTTAGATACACTTGGACTCTAGTGAAATGACCGTGTATGCGTGGTTATCCATTTCTGTACTGTACTGTTCAGAATAGTCAAATATATGAACAATTTAAAGTCCAGTTATGTACAATGTGTCAAAATCTGATACATCTACACAAAAAAATTCCCTGCAGCCCTAAAAAGAAAGAGAACACTCCTGTACATAGTCATGGTGATAACTCCAAGATAAATTATTTATTGAGAAAAGGAAGCACAAAGCAGTATATAGAGTATGCCACTATTTGTGTAAAAAAGATTTTTAGGAGCATAGACAATAAGTAGATATACCACTTATTCAAAAAAAATAAATTTATAAAATCAGGGCAAAGGTCATATAGTATTAAGAATCATGGACTGTACAGAGCATAAGAAAATAAACTTTACCATTACAGCTAAGAATAGAGTTGAGCTAACTTGCAAAGTCTCTCTTGTATGAAAGTTGCCTGTTTTCTAACTCTAAATTGTCTATATTGCCCCTACAGCCTTTGTCAAGCATATCATGTCTATCTGAATGGCACTTCTAAGGTACATACCTGTTCCCTTTTTAATATATATCTTTCTTGATACTGTATTCTTTAAAAAAATTAACAGCTTTATTTTATATGTTGTAGATACAAGTAATGTTGTTTCCTAACAGAGATATTCATATTAATCAGAAAACATTAATTCCTTGAGATTGTCTATTTAGTATTAAAGCAGTTGTGTAAGTGTATAAGCAAACACTGCTTCCATCCACAAACCCTATCTATCTTTCTAACTGTCCTACAATTATGCAGTGTGGACTCAAAAAACCGTAGACTACTTCATGAATTTAGGTGGAACAAAACACTACTCAAAGCACAGGCCTAACTTTTTAAAATAACTAACGTGGTTTTTAACTGACTGCCTCTATAAAATCATGTTATAGCAGTTCAAATTCAGACACTTGCAACCAGTTTCTTATAGCCTGGAAATGGCTTACCTTGTAAGTGCGGATACATTTTGTGCTATATCTCTTTTTGCACTTTACATTATTTCCTCCTGAGTTTTCTTTCTGAGAAGACGCAATCAATGTCTAATTCCCTTTCCCTTTTCCTTTACAGAACAAGCATTTTAAAGAAGACTGACTAGAAGCTTATTTTAATCACACCCATGACTAACTGTCCAGCTCTTTTCCCCATCATTTAGTAAAGCAAAACCATATGAACAGTTTGAGACTAAGGATTCCCTCAATTTTTATATACCTTGAGTGTTTATCTGAATTGTATTCCTACCACACTAACCAAGTGTCTGCCGCTCTACACAAGAATAACATATTGACAATCTCAGATCCAAGCACCACTATTTATTATCTACCAGGATCAACACACATCCATAAGATGATAAATCAATAAATAATTTTAGTCAGTCTGAACTGTTCAAGTCACATTGTGTTTTCATTTTCTTGCTTAATGAAAATAATTTTAAAACCTCAATTATTTTGTTAAATGTACAGAATATTGATGAATTGCAAGCTTTTAAAAGAATGAATCACTGCAATTACAAAGCAGTAACAAATTGATAAAGATAATCATATATTATTATAAAAGTGAAACAGACACTGAGGAAATTTAAATTGAATCAGAGACAGTTTAATGCATACTATCAAGGCAATTTAAAGTGAAAATGGTTTCTTCAGATTTGTGTAGACCATTTTGTTCATGATCTATTGATCAAATTCACTTTTAGCAACAATCTGGTCTATTTGAAATTCTAACAAACCTTTGATACTTCTTTCTTGATGTCTTCAAAGATAAGATGTAAAATGATCTTTCAGCTGTTACTTAAAAACAAATTCTCTTGGGAAAGGATTGTTGCTTAAGAACCTAAGATCCTGTTTATTAATATTCTCTTTTCTACTATGATTTACTCTCATTAGCATGCCCATGCCCCCAAATCTTTTTTTTTTTTTTTTGGAGTTGGAATCTCACTCTGTCGCCCAGGCTGGAACGCAGTGGCACGTTCACGGCCACCGCAGCCTCAACCTGTGGGCTCAGGCGATCATTCCACCTCAGCCTTCCAAGTAACTGGAACTACAGGCGCATACCTGGCTAATTTTTTGATTTATTGTAGAGGTGAGGGCTCACCAAGTTTGCCTAGGCTGGTCTCGAACCCCTGGACTCAGGCAATCCTCTCGCCTCAGCCTCCCAAAGTGCTGGGATTACATGCTTGAGCCACTGTGCCCGGCCCCCAAATCTTTTAATACATGTCAAAAGTGGTATGACTAACATAAGAATTCATAGTATAAACTTACTTTATCATCTCAGAATGCTATCAGGTACCATGGATGCTGTCAAGTATCACTTTTCCTTTAAAACAGAATCTGAAAGTTAATAATTGAACATTTAGACGGAATGAGTGGTAAATAGTTCACCCACTTCCCTAAAACAAAATAATCGTAATATACGGGATTATGAAATCTCTGAAAATATCTGCCTACCTGTAATAACTTTTTTTTTTTAGTGTTAAGAACTTCAGATCAACACACTTCTTCTATCTGGCAAAGGTCACTTGAATTCCAGTAGTAGAACTTCAACTTCAACCTCCCTCTGCGTTAGTAGTCAAGATGGTGTTGCAACATTACAATCACTCTTTTAAGGAAAATGCACTACAATCTCATGATCTCTAAGGTCAAGTTTGCCTAAGACTAGAAACTGGAAATGTCATACAGAACCATCCAATACAACTTTCTGTGAAAATGGAAACCTGTATCTTCTTTGTTCTATACAGTAATCACCAGTCACATGTGACTACTGAGCGTTTGAAATGTGGCTAGTGTGACTGAGGAATTGAATTTTAATTGCATTTCATTATAGTTCATTTAAATTTTAAATAGCAACATTTGGCTCGTAGTTACCATATCGAATGGTGCAGTTCTTAATATGTGTTTATTTTCAATTGTTACATTAGGCAACTTAAACTTTTTTATCACAAATATTACCACGTAGAGAAGGTTGCTGGTACAAATAGTCCAATCATAAAAGGTTTATTTTTGTTTTGGAATACGTGGATAAATGTCCATTCTGTTTGAAAAATGTGATGTCTACAAGGCACTAAAATTTTAGTCTCAAGCTTTATATTTATTGCTTTTCCCTCAAGACCTTTAAAACTGCTTTAACCCCCAATAGATTAACATCAAGTACACTGTCATGGGAACTAACCTTATTAAATTATCATGTGTGAAATGCCCATAACTCAAGTAGCAGCAGGTGCAAAATAGAGTAGTTGGCAGAAGAGTGACAGTAATTTTTAACATCTACACCAGCTGGCAAAAAACGACAGGTGCCTAATTCCTCGGTCTTTAAAAATAACTTTTGAAAAGCCTACGTTACGTAAGCAAGCATTTTCAAGTTTCCTTTTTAACTGTCTTCAAGTTACCTTTCTGAAAAAATATAATATTATGGTTACTTTTGCCTCAAAAGTATATTTGAAACTTAAAGGGCATGCAGGAACTTAATGCTCTTCTCTATGAATGAAGTAAATAATTATTATTACATTGGGGAACTAAAATTTTACTTTCAGATTTCACAATAAAATTTCTCAAAAAAATGTAATATAAGAATGAACTCATAATGCAACTTTGTCTAACTTTATTTATTTTTCTGTGGTGGCAAATATAACTTGAGACTTAACAGAATAAAGAAAAATATCTTACTCTAAGTTCTAAATCTAGAGAAAGTCATAAGTCCATAGATCTACTCAGCAAACCAAGACTATATCCGAAGAGAGAAGATTAAACAGCAATTATTTGGAGTCCAGTCAAAGAATTACACTCCCTTGAAAATATCAAGATAACTAAAGCTAAAAAAGAACAAGATCAAGAAATAATTCAGGCAATGGTTTTACAGTTTGATAAGTGAGCCCCCAGCTAAGAAAAGTCAGTGCAAAGGGAAGCGTAATGGGGTTCCAGGTTCCAAAGATCTGCTGGAAATTTTTCCAGATACTTCATTCCAAGATAGATTTTCTTAGTTGAACATTCATAATTAGTAGGAAGAAGTACTAGCTACTCCTTACCTTGTCTTTCATCTGCCAGCAACGGGATTAGCCAGAACTCATCTGCCTTCCCTATGGCTGCACGAAACCAAGAAGCAGTAGAACTCTTAGACCAGGGACAATGTGGCTCAGGCTTTAAAGGGAGCCCCTCGAGTCCTCCCCCCTCAGTCACATACCCACAACGCCAAGGAGTCTACTCAGAAAAAGAGCACACCACTCCAGAGCTCATGCCTCCACTCCTATTCCACACTTTGGGTTCCTAGGATCCCAGACTTCCCTGACTGAATGTCTCCAACCTCTCTTCTAGGACCTGGGCAGGATTCTTCCTAGTCCATTCTCCCAAAGGAAGACTGCCACGAGTGTATTCAACCCTAAGACCAAGACATGCCAAAGCCAGCCGTTTTGTTTTGTTTAAAGTAAGAACGGAATTATCCACAAGACCCCTGCAGCACAGGGTGAAGTTGGAGATGGGAGTGGGAAGACGGAAGGTCACTCTATTCTGGGGCAGATCACCAAGGAGTCCAAGAATTCTAACCCGTCCTTCTATGTTATTATGAAGCTATCATTTGTCAAGGGAAGTATATATTACTTAACAGTTTCTTAGTTTGATGGATAATAAATATTTAAGTTTATGGTAAGCGGATCTCTATATGTACTCTTGCCAAAGGCCCCACAAACATAGAGGTAGGCTTTTTGAGACGAGATAATGCTCAGATTTTTTGGAGCAGACCTTGAAGTTTCCCAGAAATGCTGCCAATCTTTTTGAACTTTTAAAAAAATTAGCAAATTTGTTGGTCAGTAATAGCATAGGTGGTAAGGAATTCTGGTAGCATGTAGGTTACACTTTTATATTATTATTATCATTATTATCATTATTATTATATAACGATAGGGTCTCACCAAGTTGCCCAGACTGGTCTTAAATTCCTGAGCTCAAGCAATACTCTTGCCTAAGGCTACCAAAATGGGCTTACAGACATGAGCCACCAAGCATGGCCTAGACTTTTCTTTCTATCCTTGAAAAGACGAAAAGAAGATTGTTGTTTCCTATGGTCTTCCACCAGCCTGTGAAAGAGAAAATTAACTCATCTCACAATATTCTTTGTATCAAGTGAGAATAAGTACAATGTTATTGGGGGAAATATATTTATACTTTTTAAAAACTATGTTAAAGTCTCAACCCGTAACACATATAAAGGTGCACTTCGTGGTAATTGTTTGATGACAACTGGTGAAGTTCAACTTGAACTATAATTCAGCAAAAATATCCAGATGTTGAACATATCCCTACTTCTGTTTACTTGTCCACTTTCATCTGTTAGACTTTCTTTAGAGCAATCAAATCATACCCTAAGAATGGGATGCTCTGGGGTCAGGTTTAGGTTTAAATTCTACTGCTACCTCTTCTGAACTGTATGACAGTGGGGAAATTATTTGACCTTTTCAGGTTCATCTTCTACAAAATGGAATATTAAAGGGGTGTTTTGATAATTAAACTAATTAAAAATGTGGAGCAACATGGCTTACTAGAACACTCATTCCCTCACAAAGACAGCCAGAACAAGGAATAAACAACTACATATTAGTGAAAATAACTGAGGGAAAGTGCTGAAATGCCTCAGAGGAGTAACAAAATTCCTGGTGAACACAGAAACTCAGGATGACAGCATAGAGAATGGAAGGAAACACCAGGCCCCCACCAAACCATCCCAATTGGGAGCAGCTGGGAACCAGGAAGAGGTCCCTTCAGCCAAGAGGAAGCAAGAGAATCCCGGTAGCACTCAGCAACACAGTGGACAGCGACAGACTCCACCATGGGGGTCCTCTGCAGGCCTCACAGGCACTAAGCCCAACTGAGGGAACAGTCTAGAGTCCGTAAAACTGTGCTCCCCGCAGAGAAGAAGTCAACACAGTGTCCCTGTGTCCCTGTGGCCCACGGGGCTACTGTCCTATGCTGTCTTGGAACTGGCTCTGTAATTAGAGTCTGTCTTGCTCTGGGAATGAGTGGCCGCCGGAGCTCCAGCTAGTTGGAAGGCTGAGGCAGATGGATTGCTTGAGCCTAGCAGGTCAAGGCTGCAGCGGCTGTGAGAGTGCCATGGCACTCTGGCCTGGGCAACAGAGTGAGACTCCGACTCAAAAAAAAAAAAAAACAAACACAAAAAACTAAACTAAAAATAGAACTACTATGCAATCCAGTAAACCTGCTGCTCGGTATATACCCAAAGGAAAGGAAATTATAACATCAAAGACATATTTGAATTCACATGATTAGTGCAGTGCTATTCTCAATAGACAAGATATGGAATCAAGCAAAGTGCCCATGAGCAGATGGATGGATAAAGAATATGTTATTTATATACAATGGAGTATCATTTAGTCA